AGCTCTGTCCCAGACAGGGATCGAACCAGCGAGCTGCCGGCCCTCCAGACATGGACCCACGGAGGGAAGGACAACCTGGATTATATCTTTCACCAGACCCGTACGATCGTTTCGCCTATTTGGGACGGGCGACTACGCGCACGAGATAAAGAAGAACTCACCTGCAATGCTGCACGACCCAGGCTGCCTAGGGTACTGCAAAACCAGCCGCTGCACAAGGCCAGCCCGCTGCACGACATGCAGCAAAACAACGGCAACTCACCAGGGACCACACGGAGAACAATGCAAAGACACACCAAAGTGCGCCAACTGCCATGGCCCATTTCCAGCAACCCACGACAAGTGCCCAGCAGCCCCAACGAGGGTGAATGGCCGACTCATCCAACCTATAAAGGGGGAACTAAAATTCATTAGGGAGGCGGGTGACCGTGCTTCTGAGGCAATACAGCCAGCTAGAGGAAGACAGACAGGCAGCACGGTCGAAACCTCCATTGAAATCACGGACGGCGACATAGCTAATACTACTGAGCCTGTGGGAACACCTACGGACGCAAGTAAAAGAAGCCGACAAGACGTAAACAACCTAAACACAGCCACTGTTAGAGAGCCCGCAACCACCCTAGGGACTAGGAGGTCTAAGAGAACAGCTGCAACTACGCAAGACCTCAACCTAGCGCGAATGTCTGCTAGAAGCGTGCAGCCTAGCACCGCTGACCAAGACCCTAATACGTCATCGTCTGAGCACGCTGACACTGAAATGAGCCTCGGATCCAGTGCGTAATGAGGGCACAACCCGCGAATTCACCCGGCGAAACCACGCCACACCGACACAGACAAATGCAGGTATGCTGGGTGAATGTGGCCAGAAGCTCGCCTTACCACATTACAGCCTTAGAACGTGCATGGGAAGCAGACATAGACATAGTATGCATCCAAGAACCCTTTACTCTCACTGGAACCCGGACCTCTACACACCCAGGATTCCATATGATATCGCCAGTGATAAGCTGGAACAACCCCACAACGTGGGGAACTGACCGACCACGGGTGCTCACCTATACCCGTAAGAGCCCAAATATAAGGGCTAATCTTATACACCCACGCATCAGCCGGGATGTGCTATGGATCGAGGCCAACGGCTACCGCATATTGAATGTTTATAGGCAGCCACAGAATGACTCGACATTTCAATACCTCACAGCTTTAACGCCACCCCGTAACTGCCTTATAGGGGGTGACTTAAACGCCCGCCATGAACTTTTTGAGCCCGGCTCCACGTCGGCCAATAGGGGGGCAGAGATCGCCCGCTGAGCCACTCAGAACGACATACCCTACATCGGCGAGGCAGGTAACCCAACACATCGGGCAGGACACGTGCTAGACGTATCCTTCTCAAATATACCCTTCGCTAGAACGACAGTCCGCGAAGATATGTATACAGGGTCAGACCATTTCACCCTAGTGACTGTCCTTCCAAGCCGAGGGAGAGCGGTGCTAGAACAGCATCACTACCGGGTCCACGAGAGAAACATAGATAGGTTTGCCGGGCTAGTTCAACTCTACACAGTAGGCGTACAGCCAATTAGCAATAGCGCCCCAGCGGACGTAATCGACGCAAGCATAGCTAGAATCACCCAAGCTATAGGAGATGCAATGCACGCGGCGGGAACACCAAACAGAGAAAAAGGCCACTCCGCCCCATGGTGGACAGAGGACTGTAGAGTGGCGTATAAGCGGCATATCCAGGAAAAGTCGGACTATGGCCAATCCCCCTCAGAAGCCACCCGTGCGTTCCTAGCTACGGTACGAAAAGCCAAGAGAACGTACTGGCAGCAGCGCATAGACGGCTGTAATAACGACAAAGATCTATACAAGCTAGTAGGCTGGCATAAACTATCATTCGACCAACGGGACACCCCGCTTGTAATCGAAGGTAGGACAATCATAGCACCACTCGAGAAAGCTGAGGCACTTAGAGAGGCAATCCTCGACCGTTTTTCGGCGGAGGACGACCTCCTAGAACCACCGCCTCTTGACAACGACCCGCAAACCACGCCACTACCATGGGACACATACATATCGATGGAGGAGACGGAACGCTACGTGATTGGAGTATCTAGCACCTCCCCAGGACCCGATCAGGTGACCGTCCGACTCCTAAAGGCATGCTGGGAACACATTAGACACCTAGTGCTAGGCATCTACCGGGCGTGCATGGAACAAGGCCACTACCCAGCCGCCTGGAGGACAGTAGAAGTGGCCATGATACCCAAAGTCGGGAAGAAGGATAAGTCCTCACCCAGATCAATGAGACCAATTGCCCTATCGTCCTGTTTGGGGAAGGGACTCGAGCGTATCATAGCAAGGCGCATAGCGCACACAGCTATGGCTTTTGACATCCTGAGCCCACAGCACGGTGGAGCGCTGCCAAAACGCTCTGCGATGGACCTAGCGACCGCATTCACACACGACGTGGAGATGGCTTGGTCAAGACACGAGCATGTCTCTATGCTCACGTTAGACGTCCAAGGGGCGTTTGACGCGCTACTGAAAAACAGGCTACTACACCGAATGCGGCAACAAGGGTGGCCACCCCTACTCCGGAAATTTATCCAGAACTTCCTGTCGGAAAGGAGGGTGCGAGTACGCCTAGGCAATGTCACTACACCTGTACATCGAGTGGCCTGCGGCACCCCGCAGGGATCGCCGCTATCACCGGTCCTATACACCCTATACCTAGCTGAACTACTCAACCAGGACCGAAAACTCCGGTTCGGGTATGCCGACGACATCAACCTATACCGGGTCTCCCACTCTTTAGACGAGAACGTCGCACTGCTAGCAGAGGACCTCAAATCTATCAATGAATGGGGAGCTGCGAACAAGATCACGTTTGCACCAGAGAAACGGGAGCTGATCCACCTCACGCGCCAGAAAGGACTACATGCGCCGCCAATCCAATTGGAAGATCAAACAATTCACCCTATAGCCCCTGCGCAGGGGGGAAGCCAGACAGCGCTGCGCTGGCTTGGGGTGTGGTTTGATAGGGGACTAACTTTCAAGAAGCACGTCGCAGAAAGGGCGGCGCAAGCTAGGAAAGTAGCGAACCATCTCCGGAGCCTCGCCAACACAGCCCACGGCCCTCCAGCAGGATCGCTACGCAAGGCAGCCATAACATGTATCCTGCCCATACTACTATACGGAGCCGAAACATGGTACGAGGGCAGGACGAAGAACCCACGAATTGCAAGGGTTTCCCGTAAACCCACGGTCAGCACTAGGGTAGGCTGGCACCTAACCACGATAGATCAGGCACTAGTAGCAGCCACGAAGGCAATCCTCCCTGCGTGGAGGACAACACCAAACGCAGTACTGCTAAGAGAAGCTGCGATGCCGTCGGCACAGGTGGCGCTGGAGGAGGCTAAGCTCCGCTTTGCGGTTCACCTACGCACGATAGACGACAAGCACCCACTTACTAATAGAACTACACTGCCACTAGTCATACGAGGACGCGCAGCGGGCAACCGACGGATACCAAGATCGAAGGTTCAGCGCGTAGCACAACTGCTACCCGCCACACCCCGAAACGTCCTAGCCAGCCCTCACTTTTCAGACGGGTCGAGGCAGGATCCAACGCAAGGGCAAGGAAAGGACATTGCTGCCCAGAATTTCACCATCTGGTGGGAGTCTCTTGGACAAGAGACAATCACTGTCTTCTCAGACGGGTCTGAACAACAAATCAATGGTACAAGGGTGGTCACTTACGGGTACGCTATATACCAGGGCCAGGCCGCCGTGGCGACTGGACAAGGCTCACTAAATGCCCTTAGCCACGTCTTCGATGCAGAGGCTATAGGCGCGTGCAGAGGACTCAAACACGCACTACAACTCTCACTGCCTAGCCAGAGGGAGATCGTACTCTGCATAGACAGCACTTCGGTAATATGGGGCATACGCGGAGCCGCCCCTGCCTCCTCCCAATGGGCGTTCCTCCAAATTCATGGAGCTATGGAGGCCTACAACGTGAAAACGCGGTGGGCGCCGGGACACATGAAGATTGTTGGAAACGAGCTCGCCGACCAGCTGGCTGACAACGAGGCCAAAGACCCGCACCAGCCATACGGCATGGCCGCCTCCCCTACAAGATCCGGTATACGAACAGTAGGCCGCCGCCTCCTCGAACACATAAGAGACACTTGGTGGAAGGATAAGAGCAGTAGGCTATCAGCATGGTACACGCAATGGCAGCTGCCATACGATACTAGGCGCACGCCCGCAGCGCTATGGCTGCCCCGAAGGATACTCGCGAAAGTCCTTATGATACGCTCAACGCATGGCGACTTTGAATGGTACCACCGAAAATTCAACCACGAGGATACCTCAGGAAGGCCCATGCGGTAGGGCCCAAGAGCCGGCCAGAACCTCCTTAGTTTTCTGCAAGAGAGCCACAACACACTTCAAGAAGTGGCCTCTACGCCCCATCGTGCCCCCTCGCACAAGACAGGAAGGCCTAGCGTACCTCGCGCAATTAATAGACCAGCCACAAGAGTTCGAGACCTTCGTGAAGGTAACGAACTCCTTCTATGACGAGTGATTTCTATTTTTGAATTTCACAAAGACCCGCTGAATTCCTTGGCATTATTCAGTGTAGGATTCGCGGCAAAACGCCGCATAGATGCCACAACCCACACGCTCTCTTTCAAACCTTTTGTTGGAAGGCCTTGTACGATCGTACGGTGAATAACAGTAGCTAAGGTAATCTTGTGTATTGGTATTCTGGTGTATGATGATTCTACGAATGTGGGGGCTACGAAGGTATACATAGCGTTGGGTCCGAGTTGGGCCGAAGTAGGATCGAGGCGGTACATTGGGCCTTATTAGGCGACACACCGTGTGTATGCCGACACTGGCAATCTTTTCTTATTGTAACGACTGATGTAAGGAAAAACGGGTCTTCTAAAAAGGGCACAATGAGAGGGATTCCAAATAGGCATATGTGCCTACTCCGTAGGTCGCTGCACAGATCCCTCTACTCGGATTGACAGCTTGTTGCTTTCGATGAAACGTTCTAACGCGCGATTTGGTGTTGCTTTCGTGAATGCGTCCGCGGGGTTGTCCTCTCCGTTGATCCAGCGGATCTCAGTGATCTCGCGACGCTCGTATGACTGCCGAAGCGCCATGATGTCGATCATCAGTCGCTTCTCAGCAGTTGTTCCGAGTTTGACGAGGCATTCATACAAGGAGTATGAATCCGTACACACAATAAGTGGGATCGGTGGTAGACCTAGGCGTCCTGTAATTATCTTGAGGGTTGTTAGGATAGCGATAGCGATGTCGACACCGCTAACCATGCCGTACGTTTCTGAGGCAAGAACGCTCCGGGTAACGCGTTTGCATTTGGTCGAACTCCAATGGATTACGTTACCACGAATATCAAACGTGCTGTCTTGTCGACTCGACTCATTCGCAAGGATAAGTAGGTACCCTAGCTGTGAGCTAAGGTCTTGGTTGTTCGCGAAGGATCCGTCTGTGAACACTACCAGCTTTGCTGTAGCGAGGTCGAGAGGGACGTATCGCAGGCCTCGTTGTATGCTCTCAGATTGCCACTGCAGCCGGCGGTTAAGCTTCACGTATTCTGTGTCCTTAGGTTGTTGTATTTGCGCAGCCGCGGAAAGATCGAACGATGCTTCAGGTTGGCATATCGACGCAATGTACGCGCCACGCGCGCGCTGCTCCATGTACTTCTGTGCTCGGTTTGCTGCCTTCGGATCAATGATTTCGATCTTGGCACCTTGTCCCTTCTGCGTAAGTAGAATCGTGTCTCCGCGCAACGTTAGAGTACATCCGTTGAACTCGAGTGATACTTCTTTGGACAGTCTCTCCTTGGGCTTAGCTCGAAAATTGGCTTTCTGGAGCGCAGCGTCTTCTGCACCAGAGAATGCAGGCGTCCCAATCGCGAGAGTATCGTCTGTCTGCAGGCCCACTATTCCAAACGCTTCCCGTCTCCCGTTCGTGATCAGGAGGCACGGGTCATACGTTGATGTAGCCATGTCGAGCTCCTTGCAGTGGTGTCCTTGGTACGTAGCAAACCAGTGGACTCCTGCTTCCGCGATTCCATAGAGTGGCTTGATTACGCGAATAATTGTTCCCTTGGGATACTTTGTTATAAGCTCCTTTGGGAGGTGCGCTAAAACCGTGCGGAATAGCTCTGTTTGTGCCTGTGGGTACGCTTGCGTGATATCTCGTAGTTCCACAACCATGCCCTCATCGAGTAATGCAGGCGCTAGGGCTAGAATCAGGCGCTGGCGTGGCTCGTTGGATGGTTGGCGACTGCGTCAGGATCTCGTGTTTGCCCTCGTCATTGTACCCTTGAACAACGAGGGCGAGATTTCTCGTACGGGACCATGGTCTTGCCTTTGACTTCGCGGACCATGCGCGATTTGAAGATACGATACCCGCCGTGTAGAGTTGGATCAAACAGCTCAAAACTGAATACTCCACGGCCGACGAGGTCGTCGATCTCCTTATGATCGGATGCTTCGAATGGAGCGCCCGGGACGCTAATCACGCCGTCATTGCGTAGCTTGACGGCCAGGGCGTAATAGTCCTCCTCCTTGTTCGACAGGTACTGCACCTTGGGCTTGTTCTTTGATCCAGGTGGGCGGCGCCGCTTGCGCGGCTGAACCGCTTGATTGGCTTCCGCCGGTGGTACACGGGAGTGGCGGTTCATC